TCTCTCTTCTCTCTCTCTCTCTCCTCTCTTCTCTCCCTCTCTCCAGGCTCGTCGCTGTTTCTCTCTGCCTTTTCTTGTCGCTTTCTCTCTGTCATTGTCACCACTTCTTTTGCTGCCGCTTTTGGCTGCCATTTTCCGCAGGCGGTCCGGCAAAACTAGCCGAAGACACTTCCACCAAGGCCATCAAAAACCCACGTCCCGAAGCCCTAAACCTTCAAGCCCAAAACCCCTAAACCCTAAACCGAAGCCCCAAAACCCTAAACCCCAAAACCCTAAACCTGGAAGGCCACCGCCCGCGTCCTGCCGAGCATCTGCCCGGAGGGTAGTCAGGTGGGGTGCTTAAGCGCGAAGCTCCTAGCAGCTCATGGACGTCTTGCAAAAAAAAGGGGAGAGAAGGGAGTACAAACTAGAACTTCCTAAAGCATCCCTACCTGGGTTCGGTTTTGGATGCTTCTGGAGTCAACCCTAAACCCTAAACCGCCAGAGTTCACTTTCTAGGGTTCAGTCAAGATACTTTTTGGAAGGTCAGAAGTTTCCAGGCTCCCCAAAATCTGCGGAGATCGGCCTCCAGCTGCGTGGGCTGGTGGTTCCGGGGGTGACCCCCAGAAACTCGAAGCTTTTGATCCTGAGTTACCACTGGCCCAGGCTCCTTCTTAGAGACACTGCAGAGTTCCGCATGGAAGTTTTCAGCTCCTTTTTGCCGCAAAGCCTGAAACCCAGAACCCCACTGCCAGAACCTCTGTTGCCACCTGCGAGACAGCGGGCCCTAAGATAGAGTAGTAATGGTCGTGCTACTTCTACCGCTTTGCTACTTTGTACATCTACTACTACTGCCAGTACCATCACCGTCGTTATTGGAATGGGGGCAGTTGTGCAAAAAGCAATGATGAGCAGCAGACCAGCATCTCTCGTATGTCTTGCGGCAGGACTAGAAGTCGGGTTGCGGGGTTAAGGGTCTTAGGGGCTTGGGTAGTGTCCATTCTGCTGTTACTATATTATTCTTGTAGTAACAACCGTATTTATTATTATGAATATTGTCACTGTTACCACGATTACCATTCTTATTGTCATCACCACAACAAGCACAGGGATTCTCACTGTCGTTCTTGATCTGGTTGCCATTATTCATACCTTTCGGTTACTATTGGTATCATTTTTCGCATCAGTATTGCTTCTTCTGAAGCTCGTTGCTAACAGTTTTTACGTGTACGTGTCAAAAACAATTGACAACATTATTCATACGTTTCGGTTACTCTTGGTATTAATTTTCGCATCAGCAGTATGTCTTCTTTTTGAAGATCACTCTCACCATAGTTCTACTAATCCGACCCTAAAGCCTAAACCCTAAACCCTAAACCCTAAACCCTGAACCCTAAACCTTAAACCCTGAACCCTAAACCCTGAACCCTAAACCCGAGGCCGTCATAGCAGCCCTACTTCCCAAGCTGGCCACGATCAAGCAGATGGAGCCGAGGATACGGACCTGCCAGGCCTCTTGGGGCTTTTGAGGTTTTAGGGTTTAGGGTTTAGGGTTCAGGGTTTCGAGGCGCTTGGGTCTCTGGCTTCAGGGTTTCAGGCTTGAGCCCAGATTCTGGGAAGAAAACATATCGGACCCGTCGGAAAAAAGTCTAGGCACCAAGCAACAGGAGCACGATCCGCAGAGAAATGACAGAGCCAATCGCAGCATCGTGAACACCAGCAGTTGCCATAGCAGTAGTGCAGGTTGTAGCAAGATTGCTTAGCGTAGTCGCAGGATTCGTAAAGATGTTGCTAGTATATTAGTAAGTCGTCATCGCCGGCAGTAGCAGCAGCACGAGCACGGGCAGTAGGATGGATAGCGGTTGTGGCGTTGATCCTAACCGCCACTATGTCTTTACCATGTTCCGATTAGGCTGCTACTGCTCCGGCAACAGCAACAGCAACAGCCGCAACAACAACTACTGCTGCTGCTGCTACTACTGCTACCACCACCGCCAACTCCTACCATGAACACCACGACGACGACTACTACTAAGCTACTACTAGTACTACTACTACTACTGCTGCTGCTGCTGCTACTACTACTACTACTACTACTACTAGTACTAGTACTAGTACTAGTACTACTGCTACTGCTACTGCTACTGCTACTGCTACTGCTACTGCTAC